CTATTACATTTCGTAGTAATCGTTCCAAGATATTCGAACAAGTGTGTAACCTCGGCAAAAAAGACACCGACATCACGCAGAGAAAGAAAAAAAGCGATCAAACCGAAAACAATACCTCGCGATTGTTTTAAACAATCCGCTTTTGCTAGACTCTTTTCACAGATCAGCGGCAGACTTTGACAATGCACCAGGGATAAACGCTTTTCTTTTTTTCCAAACGCTTTCAACGCTGTGCCGAGGAAAAGGAAAAAGTCGAAACTCTTGCGGCGTTTAAAACACGGTCTCAATGGTTCGGCGCTTCGTGCGAAACGAGTTTCGACAGCTGTTGACAGACAGCATGTAATTCGTTTATTTTGTTTCTTCTTTTTTTTTCCCTTCCCCCTCCTCCGTTTTTGAAATAGCACTGCTGTGAACCTGGGAAACCACCTAGGCTAGATAAAAGATTTCTGTAAACGGGCCTACGTGGACTTTCAAATTGACTACGAATCAGATTGACGTTTGTGGAACGCTGTTTCGAATCTCGTGAAATTTGAATTTGAAAAAGCGATCGTGTTAATCTACAGAAAAACTGAAAAAGTCACTTTTGAGCACACGTACACTTATTAATTTCGTATAGATACAGAAAATTGTTATTCTAAAAGCAAATAGATTTATGCATTTTAAGAAATAAAAAGGAAAATTTAGTTAATGGCCTAATCTCATTTCTCAGAGAAGCTAATTTATTGAATAAAAAGCACAAGAACATAAAAATAATTCCTAATAAGACAGTTGGTATAACTACAAATCTATAGATATTCAAAAATAAAAACCTAACAAATAACGAGAATCAGTAAGAAATATACAAAAATGAAAAGACATTTTAAAAAATGAATAAAAAAGAAAAAAATTGTTGGTGCAGAATCATTCAATCACTACAAAGAAAAATTTTTAGGATTGTTGTACGTATTCATTCCTTTAAAATTTCTGCCATTTATATTTGTACTACTTCCAACGTAAACGTTCCTTTTTCATTTTATTTTTATGCTTAATATTTAAAAAAACAATTAATTCAACGAATACTAGTAATAAATGAGTAGATTGGTAATTTTTGTGCGTTTATAGAAAATTTAAATCTGCAGAATTGCTCAACATAATATAAGAAAAATGTATAAGACATTTGAAGTATATACAGTATTTTCTACATGAAACAATTTTCTACTGAATTCTTACTTTTTAAATTATATTCTGAAAAAATATGAATTTGCATATGAATTTATATTTGTGATTCTTAGTACGCAAAACAATTTTCTATCGAAATTCCCTCTATTTAATTCCTAATTCATGATATTGTTACATGTAAATAATACATTCTGTATATCATACAAATAAAACAAAATTTATTTTATATTACTGTATTACTTAATATATGTATCTGCATATAACGTTATTAATATGATTAATATATTAATATTAAAATAATTGTATAATATTAATATTACCGCATTATTAATATAATATAATATATATTACGTATATTAATACAATATAATATAATAATATAATGCATATTATAATAATAATAAACATATACAAAATAATATAAATATTATAACAAATAAATTAATAATATTGTACAGTAATAAAGAATATATTCCTACTGTAAAATATAATTAACTAATATGAATTATTAATTACAGTTATATTATTTAATCATATATATTACATGTTGTAGTTATTAATACACATATAATATATTAATAACATATAATGCATAATATATAATAATATAATATAATATAATATAATATATTAATATAATTGTATAATATTAATATTACCGCATTATTAATATAATATAATATATATTACGTATATTAATACATAATAATAATAATATGCATATTATAATAATAATAAACATATATAAAATAATATAAATATTATAACAAATATATTAATAACATTGTACAGTAATAATATTTATATAAATCTATATAATATATTAATAACATTGTACAGTAATAATATTAATATATAATATTAATGACATTAAATATATTAATAACATTGTACAGTAATAATATTTATATAAATTTATATAAATCTATATCTAAAGTATACATTTCTTGTGTATATATTTAATTAATATTAATTATTAATTACTATTATATTATTTAATCAAATATATTACATGTTGTAGTTATGAATATACATATAATATATATATTAATATAATATAATGTATAATATACAATAATATAATATAATATTACCGCTTTATTAATGTAATATAATATATATTACGTATGTTAATACAATATAATAATATAATGCATATTATAATAATAATAAACATATATACAAAATAATATAAATGTTATAACAAATATATTAATAACATTGTACATTAATAAAGTATACATTTCTACTGTGCTATATATTTAATTAATATTAATTATTAATTACAATCACATTATTTAATCATATATATTACATGTTATAGTTATTAATATACACATAATATATATATTAATATAATATAATGTATAATGTAATATATGTATATAATATAAAATATAATATATATAATATAAAAACATAATTATAACTAAATATATTAAATATAATATAATAAACATATTAAATATAGTATAATTGCGCTAGATTACTCATCGTTCGAGACACAACTAACCCGCTCGTACCTCCTCAGGAAAAGCATAAGCTACCTCCTACTTTCCTAGAAAGCACCCTGTTTCTGAATTATCTCGTTACGGACACTTTGCGCACACTTTACTTTCCTCGCGGAGTTTTCCGCGGGTGGAAAATTTCACCGGAACGAAGCGGTCACGGCCGAGAGAACAGAAGGCCGTCCATACTGAAGAAGAGAAAATTGCGCGGCGGCTAATTGCGCATATCCTGCAGATGAGCGGAGCGTTTAGAGACACGTTGTCGGGACGACTTGAAATTTCCAAGGCGACAACGGTGCTGCACCGTACGTGGAAGAATCCAATCGGATCGTAAGCCGCGCCGCGCGTTGACCGATTTCTTGCCACGAACCACCGATTTTGATAAAATTTGGCACGAGTGCAGATGATTCACGAGAAGATGAAACTTGTCGCTGATGGTTCCACCAGTCGATCAAGAAAGTTTGAGAGAGAAAATTCAACAGTGAAATTATTATTAAAAATTTAACAGATCTCGTATCTGGTAGAATTGAAAAATTACGTAAAGTAAAGTAAGATTTAATATTTTTTGTACCTCTCAACTATTTAACAAAACGATTTTAGATTTCTTTTAAATAGAAGATAAAATTCCGCCGAATAAAGTATTTTCGCTTTAATACACGATATACGTCGCATTTCAATTATTTGTTATATATTTGAAATGAGTTATTATATAATTTATAACTTTGCTTGAGAAATAAATTACGTTATCTGTGCTTGTTACTTAACTTTAATAATATTAGCAAATATAATTCAACTAAAATGGAACACCGTTGCGATAAATTTCTATGCAGAACCGATTTCCTCAATCATCGTTCGTGAAGATGTAAAATTCCATTGAAAAAGAAACAGACAGTCTAATTACGATTATATCATACAACATGGAACTTAGATATGTTTACGACACAGCAATCTTCTATGAAACTTTACACGATATACGCTATAATCATCCATTATAATAATTACATCACGTTATTATCACACACTGCTATTCATCTCAGCCAAATAGGTATCCAACATCGACGCTAATTAATAAACCTGAAGCTTTCACTGAGCTTGCTTCGAAGATTACGCTCTCCGTGAATTGTTCTCGTGAATAATTTTCGAAAAGTTCGAAATCAACGAGACTTTAACGAGGGGTTTAAAAGGATCAACATCAAGGATAATATCATGCAGGAACCTACATGCAGAATTAGCCTACATAAAGAGTCGTGTATCGCTTTAAAAGAAACGTTTGAGAAAAGTGGTACGCCAACATTGTAATCAATAACATAAACGTCAAGAAAATTGTGTTGGAAGATGGCATGCTGCAATGGAATTAGAAAACGGCAATTTCAATAAATATTGTCCAGCAGGATTGTTACGGACGTTTCATAACATAAGGAATCCGTTGCAAAATGTTTATAATTAATTGCTGTATAAAATGAAGAGGCATTGTTCTAGATTTACGTACTGTACAATATGTATTTGTAACAAAATATTATTATACTTGTACATATATGTACATATTTACGTGTCAGTAATATTTTAATTATAAAATATTTATATTTAATATAATTAAATAAAAATCTGACGTTATTAAATTTAATAGTAAAGTGTTTAATAACATAAAATTAATTATTTGGACAAGATATATTGATATTATAACTAAAATGTAATATAATAATAATTAATATAATATTATAATTATAAAATTCTATAACTTTATTATAAAATATGATTTTATAATAAAATATTATTATACTTGTACATATCTGTACAAGACGTGTCAGTAATATTTTAATTATAAAATATTTATATCTAATATTATTAAATAAAAATTTGACGTTATTTAATAACATAAAATTAATTATTTAGACAAGATATATTGACATTATAATTAAAATATAATATAATTATAATTATATAATATAATATTATAATTATAAAACTTCATAACTGTCTAATGTTACTAGATTACGTACTGTAAAATATGATTTTATAATAAAATATTATTATACTTGTATATATTTGTACAACATGTGTCAATAATATTTTAATTATAAAATATTTATATTTAATATAATTGAATAAAAATCTGACGTTATTAAATTCAATAGTAAAGTGTTTAACAACATAAAATTAATTATTTGGACAAGATGTACTGATAATGTTATAATTATAAAACTTTATATGTGTCTAATGCAATTAATTGATGTGTAAATGAAGAGACATGTTTTAGATTGTAATTTGTAATTGTAATTAATATTTATAACATTTCATTTATGTACCATAGTGTGATTATATTTTTTCTAACAGAGAATCTACTACCACTATTAGTAGCAGTAAGTCTTTGACCATATGCAATAATGTTAAATTAACTGAAAGTAGTGGTAATATTGAGAATTGATTGCAAGATATATTAATATTTTTATAAACGTAACTAGAAATCTCAATAAGTTTCACTTACCAAGTTGTCAGATACTTTGCCTCGGGTGCTTCACACATTACTTTGCACATTATTCTGTTTATTTCTGGACTTTTAAATTTCCTGAAAATGAATAAAAACCAAGAATTAAAAAAGGAAGAGCTTTTAATATTTATAATGACTCACGAAAGTATTCGAACTCATCATACCTAATTTATTTAATATACTATAATATACATTTTTCACTAACATTGTGATTAGAAACAATTATAATGACTACATTAGTAAAATTTTGAACCAATCTAAATATAGATATATAATAAACATCAAGGATAAACTCTATCGTTATTAAAGTTGACATAATAAATAAATAAATAATGAACAAACTGCGTTTAAATAGTTTTACGATCTCCACGTATATACAAATTTAGCATTATTCCAAACTTGATTAATATAATCGTAATAATCACCTGTCACTCTAGTGTTAATGAAATGTCAAAATGTTTTATATCACACATATCTTATAATCATAAATAGTTCCTATAAATGTTCGAATACTTTTGTAAACAACAGTACGAACTAGAATACAATATATTATATAATACACAATATATATTACGAATTAAAATACAATATATTATATAATATTATGATATATATATAATATATATATAATATTATACATTATACAATATATTATATAATTATAAAATACAATATATATCTTAGAGGCTGCTCGAAAATTCCAAGAATGAGCCAATATTATCAATATGAATATCATCATAATTTGTGTAAATAGACATACGCCAACAATAAAACAAAGATATTTATAAGTCCTGTTTGACATAAAATCATAAAATTATTTACAAATTTCAAGTCATTCCTGTTTGAGATAAAATTATGAAAAGAAGGTCTGTAATCTGATTTGCCAATTCATCAATATTATCATTGTGATTAATGAATCATTCCACCCAAAAGAAGAAACCCAGAATAATAAGTATCCAAGGAAAGAAAAGGAGACCATTCATCGAGTAGGGGGGTCAGCACGCCTAACCAGAAACTACATATGTACTACCCATGACGTTATTTCATTCTCACGGTTCACCTTGAGCCAACTTTCTCCCAACATGTGTGGTGTCCAAGACTGGTCCGCTAATTACGATGCACGCTCGCAAAGCGAAAAATGCACGCGTGTTTTATTAACTGGCTAATTAAGCGTACCCTTGATCACAACTATAATCTCGTCATCCTCAGAACGCACACGTAAGAGGAACAGATTTAGACAATTATGACGATGCATAGTATGTCTAATAATAGTATAATAATAGCATTCTAAACTAATTAAATATATTATTCTAAATTAATAATAGCATGCTATAGGTACACTATTCTAAACTGTTAATTATTCTAAATAAATAATAGTATACTATATGTATATTATATTATATTATATTATTATATTATTAATATTAATTTAAATTTCACTTAAAAGAAATAAATTTAATATATTAAAATTATTTATAACAAAGTTAAAATCTAAAATTAAGAAATTTAATATATTATAATTATTTATAACAATTATTTTTACTGTAATAAAATTTGTAAATTATTAACTTATAATATAAGTTTAACCCCTACTACTGGCACTTTATCATTATTAATTTTAATTCCCCTATTTAATTTTCATTAGATTATATAGAAGTTTTTATTAATTTTATTATATATATATATATATATATATATATTTAATATAAATAAATTATATATACAAATATACCACATATACTATATACGATAAACGATAGTATGATAGTATGATAGTATGATGATAGTAGAATTCCATTTATATGAACTCTATTTGCTCGAAACAAATTTTAGATGGCCAATTAAATGAACTCTTGCTGACTGAATTTACTTATTTGAAATTCTGAACGAAAAATCACTAGTGGAGAGGAAAATCAGTGGACTTGTACTATAATTTCAATTAGCGTGATCTGTCCAGTGAATGAACATCTTCCATGAATGAGTATTGATTGTGTAATATGAAACGCTATCTTCACGTTGAAATTTATATAGTAGTTTCAGAGAAAATCTACAAATTTCATACGAAAATAAAATATTAATATTGTACTATAATACACTAAATTATTAAAGTATAGTAAATTATATTATAATATTAATATTAATGATATAAGTTAATTTATTATAGTATAATATATTATACTATACTATAATATTATACTATAATAAATTAACGTATTAAATACATGTTATAGTATTATTTTATACTATTATAGCACTATTTTTATTAAAATAGTACTATAATAAACTAAATTATAGTATAATAAATTATATTATAATAATGTAATATAAGTTAATTTATTATAGTATAATATATTATACTATACTATAATATTATACTATAATACGTATTATAAACGTATTATATACATGTTATAATATTTTATACTATTATAGTACTATTATAGTACCATTTTTATTAAAATAGTACTATGATAAACTAAATTATAGTATAATAAATTATATTATAATATTAATGTAATATAAGTTAATTTATTATAGTATAATATATCATATTATATTATAATATTATACTATAATAAATTAACGTATTATATACACGTTATAGTATTATTTTATACATTATAGTACTATTATAGTACTATTTTATAGTATATATTATATTACATATAATATTATACTATAATAACTATTATAGTTATATTTTATAGTACACATATAATATTATACTATAATATCTATTACAGTATTATTTTATAGTATATATTATACTACATATAATTTTATACTATAATAAATTAACGTATTATATACACGTTATAGTATTATTTTATACTATTATAGTACTATTATAGTACTATTTTATAATATATATTATATTACATATAATATTATACTATAATAACTATTATAGTACTATTTTATAGTACACATATAATATTATACATATAATATTATACTATAATAACTATTATAGTATTATTTTATACTATATATTTTACTACATATAATATTATACTATAATAAATTAACGTATTATATACACGTTATAGTATTATTTTATACTATTATAATACTATAAATAAAAATACTACTATAGTAAACTAAATTATAGTATAATAAATTATATTATAATATTAATGTAATATAAGTTAATTTATTATAATATAATATATTATACTACATATAATATTATACTATAATAAATTAACGTATTATATACACTTTATAGTACTATTTTTATTAAAATGGTACTATACTATTATATTTTATTAAAATAGTACTATACTATTATAGTAGTATTATAGTACCATTTATATTAAAATAGTACTATAATAAACTAAATTATTATAGTACAATGGATAATATTATAATAAGCTCATTTATTACAGTATAATGTATTATACTATAATAAATTAACATATTATACACAGGTTATAGAACTATTATCATACCGTTATAGTACTATTTTTACGAAAATTATAGAAGGATTAAAATTTCTGACTAGTGGTATATACATCCATAACACATAATACATCTACACAAGCTGAAATCCTTATCGAACAAACCATCTATAATCGCTACCACCAAATGGGAATGCCTGTTTACAGACGACGCAGCGGGCAACGAGGGCACACACCTGGATGTGCTCGATTACCTGCCGATCGGTTCTTTCGATTGTTCGCGATCGGGCGCCACGTTCCCTCGAAGACAATCGTTCGTGGGCGTGCGCCGCGGCGAAACTACCGCGTTCGTGCCCGATGCGTTGGCCAATTTTTGGGTCAACCGAATCGTCGCCGGCTTTCTTTCCTCTCGTTCACCTTGACGACCTCGTCAGGCGTGTACGGACGTCGGTACACGCGCGTACGCGCGCGGCCTGACACGTTCGTTGTCTCTCCCCTCGATCGGCCGCGATCGTAATTACCACGAGCGAGAGATAAATCCTTCGTCGGCGAACGACGATCGAATCCTTTCAAGCCTCGTCGCTCCACGATACGTTTATACGATGGACGCGACTTTGCGAGACGTGGGGTAGATTTATCGAGTCGGTAACAATGGCCCTTTCCGTCTTTCTCTGTCTGAATTTCATTTATCCAGGGCTTCAGGCTTTTCCTTTTCTTTGCAATGTGTTATTAAGTCGTTGCATGTGAAACAACGATTTGCCGATTCTTACGGAATTTGTGGGAAATTTATAGGTTGCAAATACACGCAATACGTGTAAAATATGGAAAATGGAGAACTTGTTATGATAGCTTAATAATTAATAGTTAAATTTAATTAAATAATAATGATGATAATTGGTGATTAAATTTAGAGGTTGCAAATACACGCAATACGTATAAAATATGGAAAATAGAGAAAATAGAGAACTTGTTATGATAGTGTAATAATTAATAGTTCAATTTAATTAAATAATAATGATAATAATTGGTGATTAAATTTAAGGGTAGCAAATACACGCAATACGTGTAAAATATGGAAAATAGAGAGAATAGAGAACTTGTTATGATAGTGTAATAATCAATAGTTCAATTTAATTAAATAATAATGATAATAATTGGTGATTAAATTTAAGGGTAGCAAATACACGCAATACGTATAAAATATGGAAAATAGAGAACTTGTTATGATAGCTTAATAATTAATAGTTAAATTTAATTAAATAATAATGATAATAATTGATGATTAAATTTAAGGGTAGCAAATACACACAATACGTATAAAATATGGAAAATAGAGAACTTGTTATGATAGCTTAATAATTAATAGTTAAATTTAATTAAATAATAATGATAATAATTGGTGATTAAATTTAGAGGTTACAAATACACGCAATAAGTATAAAATATGGAAAATAGAGTACTTAGTGGTGAAAAATAATATAATAGTTAATGATGAAAAATTCCATTTCTTTAATTGTGTTTGTAAAAATAAGAAAT